TATATATATATATAGAAAAAAATAAAAACATTTTAAAATATAAAGGATATACTCTCAGTCGTAGGTATAAATGATTAAGATCTTTATTTTACGTATAAAGAATACTCGGACGCATCGGATCGTCTGTTCGTCAGGGCGGCTCTACATCTTCTCACCGCTCAGTCGAACTCTCTCGAAAGACTACATTTGTAAAACTTTCACGTCTTACCCGGAAACGAAGGATGCGTTCCGAGTTATGCATGAAATGCATGATGCATCATTTGTTTTTGTTATTCATCGAATAATAAAAGATAAAATAATACATTCTGCACTTCATGTATAATCCGGAACGCACCCGAAATAGGCAATATTGCTAAAACCGGAATTAAATTACGTATTGAAGATTGAAATTGAAAATTGAAAGATTGAAATTTGACTAATCAAAACAATATATATAGAAGTTAAAATTTCTCTGTCTTCATTAGTCAAATTTTAATCTTTAATCTTTAATCTTAAGCACAGAATTGGCTATAAGATTATACATTATCTATTATAAGGTCATTTCTTTATTCATTTTTCTATCTACACTTTATGACTATCTATTCACATTTTCATTTTTTTATCTATACTTTATGACACTATCTATTCACACGTTTCATTCTGTCTATTCCAAGTGTACCTACATTCGCGGTCACGTGTGCTAAAGAAAAAATTAAATATAGATTAATCATTAATCGTATAATAATAAAATAAATCTTAATAGATTACATTTGTTGTATTTTTTAAGATTATATTAATAATGTTATGATTTTACGAATTAGTCCATATTTGTAAAACTTACGTAGCATCTATTTCTATCCATCTTTATTCCATATATTAATAGATTTGAACAGGAAAAAATAGGATATTGCAGCATTCACCATCTATTAAAGAAAGCGAAATAATTAGAATTACATTAATATTTATAAGAAAAATATGCAACTGTAAATATTATTAACCAATGTAGACACTTGTCTAAACTTTACCAAAAATAATTAATAAAAGTTCGAAGAAATCAATTTCACAGATAAAATAATCTTCTAACTGATATAATAACAACAATTTAAAATCTTATAGTTCTTTATTTCTTTATTCATTTTGGAGAAATTCTATAATACATAGATTATTCTATTTTTTTAAAAATAATTTTCACTTTTTTATTTGATAGAATATCATTCAAATTTGTTGGAATTTGTATTTTTCTTGTATGTTTTGAATCTTTTATTTTTGTAAAATTATAATATAGATATTACTTTAAAGTAATGACAGTGGAAAAACTGAAAATGAAAAAATTAAGACATAACACAGCAATTGTATTATTTTAGAAATATATTTTAGATTACTCGTACACATACTAGCAATTACAAAAGTTTTATGAATTATTATTAATTTTATGTGTCAAAATTGAAAAATATTTTATAAAGCTTTTGCTAGTCTATCCCCCTACTTATGGGGATAGACGGGCAACATACATCATAGCGTGAGCCTATATTTGTGTTCTTTGATCGAATTTTTGAAATTTATTAATTATATTATCAATGTTGTACGAAGTAGAATACGAAGACACACACACACACACACACACACACACACACAATACTTTCTTTTGATATACAAAATTAAAACTAATTTATTATAAAGCTTTTGCAATTGTTAAAATGTATTGCATACAAACAATTCAAAATACATTTAAAAAAATAATACAATTGCAGTTTTATGTCTTAATTTTTTACACGATCATTCGATGAAATTTATGCCGATGTCCGAACTTCTATGCGGTAGTGTAAAAAAATGCAGAGAAATATTATTCTAGTGTTAAAAGAGGACGCAATTTTTATTCTTCTCCTTTTGAGTAACGATTATATCATTACAAAGAATATTTTCTTGATAATATAATTTTAAAATACTCTTATTATTTATTTGAAACAAGTAATATTTACGTAACATTTTTTTTGTATGTACATGTGTACGCTTCGGAACGAACTAAATTTTTTCCAACGGTTCTTGATCATTTCCCAATTTTCGCATTCGAGATATTATTCTTATTCGGCGCTTATTTCTAAAGCGTCGAATATCCACCATCGCTTGGCGCACGGGGAGTAGGGCAAGCGCTCCACTCGCCGCCGCGAGCCTGTAAGCTCGAACGGCGTGGCGCGCCTGCTGGACCAACCCCCCGCTCCTCGCAGCACGCGCGCCGTACGCTCGGTGGGCCGTACCTTCAGCAATAGTAGGTCGGGCGGACGCGCGTATTCGGCTATCTTTAATCGTTAATAT